AAATGTCGTCTTTCACGAGCTGAAATTGACAATGCGGAAACGTATTGTTAAAGAGATGTTTCTCCTTAGGTGGTTTTCGTGTAAAACGATACAACTTTGAATTACAACGCACCGATAGTCTTAGACCAAACAATTTCCATGTAAACTAAATTTTAAACGTCGTTTTTACAGTGTGTTGCCAATAGGAATAAACTTTTTCTGTCTACACTATGGATAGCAAATATTTATGGTGCAGGCCAATTTTTTTGTGGGCCTTTGTTATTAAATTGAAATAGCCACCAAAAAATTGAAAAGTCTTCTATGGCCTTCATTAACTATTTTTACCGCTTGTAACTAGCTAGTAATTAGTTAATTATCAGGTACTAGTGAGTAACTGGTTAGTAACTAGCCAGTACCTAGTCAGTTTTAGTCGTGTTTTCTTCACGTTCCGACAGGTCTAAAATTGCAGTTTTCGAGTGTGCAATTAAATGAATACTTAAACATTGCGCCATGTTAAGGCTATAAGTAGGGGAAGCAGGGGTAATTGCGCTCACCGGGTAATGCCGCTCACCCCAGTTACTTGATAAATACGGTGCATAGAAACACGGCCGATGGCTAAGTCGTAAGGGGTATGACGCCTAAGTGGGCAAGCTACATAACATCAGTCCACTTGCACAGCCGAGAAAGTGAGGTGAGTTTATTTGTTTGTGGCGGCTGTCACCTAATTTTTAGCTAAACTATTTTATCGGTAAGTCAAGATTTTTAGCACTTAATAGCATCCAAGGAAATTATCAGTCAGATAAACTTAACAAGAGGTGAATAAAACGGCCCTAAGACTGTTTTAGTTATTTAAGGTTGATCTCTTTAGTATTTGTTAATTAAAATGGATATCTTAGATTTAAGCGTCATTACCCCTTTGCCTGAGCGGTATTACCCATTACCCAGGGGCAATGACGCTCAATCCTGTTTTTTTTTTAAGTTTTCCTACTATTTGTAAGTGAAATATAATTACTTTCTGTATTAAAATCTTGATTACCAAAGAGTTAAACTGTTGTTATTTGTTCGTACATTTAAAATAAACTAACGTTTTTTAAAAATACCGAGTTTTTTTCTTAACTGAGCGGCATTCCCCCTGCTTCCCCTATATATATATTTTAAGTATAATTCTTACTTACGACAAAAAAAGCTTCACGTCTATGGTGGCTTCAAAAACTAAATATAAGAAGTATGTCATTTTGCTTATGTGTGTTTCCAATGATGATCCAATTGTAGAAAAACTTTTAAGAAAAAAACAAAATCAACCGTTGCATTACATTAATATTTTAAACAACTTTGTCTATTAATTTATTTTATTATAAATACTTTAATAAAAGGATGTTTTGTATACGTGTTTTATTTTTATTCATAAACGGGATTTAAATAAATAAATGCAATAGACAATTATTGTAAATCCTTAAATGTACCTACCTAAATGTAACAAAATATATATAAAATTTTAGGGTGAAGGGCTGAATTTTTAGATCTTGCAAGTTGAGCCCCTTGAAGAGATAACAAGTCTCATGTGATTTTTTATAAGAAATTTTGTTCATAAGTCGACTTATTATTATTATAATATAGTGCTGTTTTTGCCACATACTTTTGAAATATTACCATTTTGCTGAAATCACCCATTCTTCTAAAATTTTGAATCTAAATAAAAAAGACCAAACACGATAAATGATATAAATAGATAAATAAAAATTTATAAAATATGGGTGTTAATTTCAATCAAGATGAAAAAGAAGAAAATTTCTGTCTTGAAAATAAAGGTTCTTTTGCAGAAGCTCAAAGTTGAGAGCATTATGCACAAGATTCGTATCCGAGTATATAGTTAAACCACACAGTTAATAGCTAAAAATTATAGTTGTCGTCAGGTTTCTTTCTGCTTGCTCCTTGATCCTTACACTTTAAATCACGTCGACTGTTTTTGAGCTTAAGGTATCGATTTTAACAGTGAATACTCTTGAAGATAGACATTTCATCTCAAAATAAATCGTTTAAATAAAGGGTAATAAAAACACATATTTATAATAAACAATATAAAAATATTATTATTATTATAAACTGATTAATGAAAAAAATTAATTATTTATTATAAACATATGACTCATTTTTATAAGTTCTATGACCTGTAAAACCTGTAAATTGTTTTGTTTTGTTGCTCTACCTTTAATACATCTTTTTAGCATATTCGTGCAACACGGATTTATTTACTAATTTTATTATCAGATTATAATTCCATGGTTGGGTTTTTGAATTAGGAAGGGTAAAACAAAAAAGTATATTTTTAATTAAAGCGAAATAATGTGTAGGTGCAAATTAATTAAATCTAATCTTAACGAAAAGGGTTTTTTGAGTCAAAAAGCGTATTTAATTAATGAATTATTTATACAAATTAACCTATGCTTATAACATCGCCACAAGTTAAATAGCTGGCAAAAAAAGAAATTTTAAAATAAAAGAATATTTTTGTAAAATTACTTATTACATTTGAATGTTTTAAATAGCCTTAATATTATGGCTGATACTCCAGAACTCAAAATTAACTATTTTTAACTGTTTAAAAAAACTTTATTACTTTTATAAAATACGACATTTTAATAAAAAAAATTGTATTTTCTGTCCAGGAAACAAATTGCTGTCGACGAGAATTATGAGTGGCTGCTTTTCGCTATAACAATTAGTCATTTTTGACTAATTAATTTTTGGAGAGTAAACTATGTTATGGTTTATGTTTAGTCCAGTGCAAGAACCACACTGATAAAAATGATGGTAAAATTACATATTTTTTACATATATTTATTCTTTTTTTTTTATAAAAAAACACCAAAAATAAAGAACATGCAGGTTTTCCAAAACAATACAATTTTACAGGAGGTAAAAACGCTTCTTTAAATGGTTTAAAAAGTTTATGGATTACAAGCAGGGGCGAAAATAAAATTTAAAAAATATTAATTATTAAAGGTGACTCCTATAGGAGAGCCTTTTTCTTGCCTACAAAATGTCAATATGCAAGTTAAAACCAAAATTTTTGCTAAATGGATTTAAATAATTTCAATTATTGATTTATATGTAATAATGATTATAAAACGTGAAATGAGGATCATTTTCAAGATGGGGATGTAGATTTTAGATAGATGTAAATGTGGATAATAATTTAAAAAGATTTTGGATTGATATAAATACAATGTATAAAACTTATTTCTGTAATTGGGCTCTGTGCCTGTTGGATATAAATAAATAAATAAATAATAAGAGCGTATACGATACGATATATCTCATATTTAACAATTGTATACAAAGCATTTTAAAGGTTGAAAGTTTTTAATTAATTTAAATTGTTCTTTGAAGAAAAAAATGTGCTTATTGTTAATACCTTCCATGTAATACCCATTTTTTTCCGAAAAATAATTTAAATTAGATAACAACTTTTAAAATGCTTTGTAAAATTGTTAAATATGAGATACGCCCTTATGGGAAGATATATTTACAAATTAAATATCTAATAAAAAATATAAAATAGTCTCTAACAATGAATTGGTCAAAAATGACTAATTACTACAGTTATTAGTAATTGCTTTTTCACTTATACCATGGTTAATCATAAAATACCATGGCATCCCCAACATTAACAGCCATTTTTATGTAGAATTGTCCCCTGAATACGAAAATACCGTCAAAAATTATGAAAGTAGAGCAGTTTTTGAGATATAGTCAATTCCATATTATTTGGAAAATTGTCTATATTTTAAAAACTGTTCTACTTCTTTTACTTTTGACGACGTTTTCGGATTCAGGGGACAATTTTACATGGAAATTGACTGCTAAATGTTCCGGATACAAATTGCTATTGACGAGAATTATTAATGGCTGCTTTGGTATGTTTTTTGGCTTGTTCACTATCAATATGAATCACGGAAATGATGGCGATGTCTACACGATAAATATATCTTTAACACTTTTAAAAGAAGTTTGACATAAGTTGCATGTATACCTACATACCTATTAAAATATGGGTATTTTTACATATTTATATGTATATATTACCTAATACATGAATAATTACAGAAATAAATTAAAAGCACAATATTTTTCTTAAGGTAGTTGTCGTGGTACAATATTTTCAAAAATTTTAAGGATAATTGTATTGTCATGTCCATAATATGTATACAAAAATTTAAAATTTTCTGATGGTATGCTTACAGCACGACAACTACCTTAAATTTATACTTTTGTATATGTAGCCACTTTATTTTTACATTCTTTTTGTAAAAAACACTCTGTATTATTTTAAATTAATTATTTTTATGAATAATGGATTGCACATGCAATTTCTCTAAAGAGCAAATATTTTACATCTGATAACATTGCTTTAAACCTAAACGATCTTGTTAAAAAATGTGACATTTTAATACCTAATTTAAAAAAAAACTCGCAATTTATTTTTTATATTTAATATTTATAACTCCTTTTTTTAAATAGGGAATTAGAATATATTGACATGTTAATAAAAATTGGACATTCAGGTTTGCTACACATACAAAAGTATGACGTCATAACTGATTGACCGCAAAAGCAAAGATTTTTAAATTAGAATGAATTTTAAATATTATTATAATTTGTAATCGAAACGTAAAATAAATGCAAAACCACCAATTAAGTCAAAATATTAGAAAATATTTACAGAAGTATCAACAAACCTTTAGTTTACTTAATTATAGTACTTATATAGGTTCTAAGGGATTTCGACCATATTATAACTGAAATACCTTTGGTATTAGGTTCAGGATGATAAATCATTTATTTATTCAAATTTCCATAAATCCCATTATCTAATCACGGGATTAAATCTAGACCTTTGTTTCAACCAAATTTAATTTTGATAGACATCGATTTATCCAACAATGGGACAACGAATTATAATTAGAGAAATCCTGAACAGAACACGAATATCCGAAAAAATCATTGTTTTATTTTTTCAGGCTTCGCCCGTAAATTTGAAGGAAAGTTTGATTGTCATGGAAAGGTACGCGCCGAACCCTCAGTATTCAGCATGTGCAGGAGCAGGGGTGCCAGTTTTACGAAAAGAAACCTTAAAGTTCCTAAATGAAATTGGAGAAGGATGTTTTGGAAAAGTATATAAAGGTGAGTTCTTTATTTCAATGCCTAAGCTTAGTTATTTGTACATTAGAAACAGAATTTAATGCATTAATCTCCCCCGTGGGGTCGAGTAGGTTTTAATTTCACCATGATGGATATATTTTCTATAGAAATATTACACCTACATACTAAGTAGAGAAAGGGTTTAAAATAGAATTTTGTTTAAATTTAAATTATTTAAATTATTACTTTCAGAATTAAGTAGTTGGAATGGTACTTAATCTGATGTTTTTTATTTTAAAATATTATTATTTTAAAAAGAGTATTCAATCAAACAAAACCAACCTAGATAAGTTTTGGGTCGAGTCAATTGAACAAATTGGACAATTTCAGGGTAATGTCCAATTTTTGATATGGCAAATTAGCAACATAGTTAGTTTAAAAGAGATTTGAACTGATTTCAAAATTAAATAAAAAATATATTTTTATAGTATATTTTTCAGTATTTAAACTTGAATTTATAACTGAAAATTGTAGTTGAAAACCTTTCTGGGTGGGGGTTAAACTCGAAAAACCCCTGTGCGCACGGATCTGTATAGAACAACAACTTAGTATAATGGCCCTCTCTAAAAATAAATTAATCAAAAATGATGCTTTTTCACTTGTTCCATGGTTAACCATGGTATTATACCATGGTATCCCAAAATTTAACAGCCAATTCTTATGTAAAATTGTTCCCTAAATCCGAAAATACCGTAAAAAATTATGAAAGTGGAGCAGTTTTTGAGATATAGTCAATTCCATATTAAATGGAAAATTGACTTTATCTCAAAAACTGTTCTACTTTTTTACTTTTGACGACATTTTCGGATTTAGGGGACAATTTTACATAAGAATTGGTTGTTAATTTTTGGAATACCATGGTATTCCATGGTTAACCCTGGTACAAGTGAAAAAGCTGCCACTAATAACTATTAAATTAGTCATTTTTGACTAATTTATTTTTAGAGAGCACATGTGCAGATCCACAAACAGAAACCAGATCCACAAACAGAAACCAGATCCACAAACAGAAACCAGATAATTTTTTTTATCGAAATATTTTGACGTGATTTTTACCTCAGACATTTTTTTAAGAAATTTTAATCGAAAAATAAGAAACGCTGTTTTTTTATTTCAGATTATTTCCCTCATTATAATATGAACCAATCAAAAGCCTTGAATTTTCGAATAAATTTCGTTTAAATAAGCGATTAAATCACTAGAACTATTTAACAGCGATTAAATTTTAGCCTCCATATTGGATTTTTGTTTACGATTTTATGGTGTTATTTACAAGTTTTAACAAACATTTTTTAAAAAACAATAAAAAATAAGTTTACGAAATATCAATTATTACTTATTACATACCTTAAATAAATGGAATTTTCTTTAAAAAAATATTTATAAATTTTGACACATACGTCAGATTTTATGAATTGTCAAATAGTTTCCTTTAATTCGAGAAATAATCTAGACGTATATCACTCAACCTATAAATTTAATCTGTCAAACTATGCTCAGTAAGTTTTTTATTTGATTTTTCTTTTTGGAAAATAGTTTCATGCAAAATAATTAAAAATAAAACCCCTCGACCGCTACGCGGTCTCGTGATTTTATTAAATTATTTTGCATTCAACATTTTCCAAGAAAAACCAAACAAAAAACTACTGAGCCTAGTTTAACCGATTAAATTCATAGTTCTCGTGATATAATTTATGATTATATTTACATCACAAGGTATTTTTTCTTCACACGTTATAACGTGTAAAATTAAATAGTCAAAATTCTACTATTTGAATTTGTACCAGCATTGTTTATTAATAAAATAGTCGGTTTTAAATAGGTATTTTACTTAAATAGTTTAAATAGTTATTAACCATCTTTGACTGTTTCTGAGAGTAAAAAGTAACTAATTTCTTTAATCGTTTTAAACTCTTGCGGCCAACAACAAATTATTGTTAGCGTTAAATGCATGTGTTATAAAAGTAGCAATGGCGCAGCAATTACATATCCGCTTGACAACCGACATACCCGAGTTCAAACCCCGGCTGGGTCAAAACTTTTTTAAATTTAAATCTACTAACTAACGCTATAACAATTAGTCGAATATGACTCATAATTCGTTATTTTTGACTAATTAATTTTAAGAGAGTACGCCATCGAAAAGTAATATCGCCGTTTCTCATCGTTTTGATCAAATTTGATCAAAACTTGTCAGGAGTGACTTATCGAGGATGTAGTTTGTTTTCGGATTAAACAGGAGGTCCTATTGAAGAAACAAACTTTATATGCTTTACATATAATTATTATATATGTGAAACTAATAAGGTTTGTTTCTTCAATAGGACCTCCTGTTTAATCCGAATCCAAACTACATCCTCGATAAGTCCCTCCTGCCAAACACTTTTTAATATGGTACAGTTAGATTCATCTACCAAATTTCAAACAAGCACAACTCCCAGAGTTGTGACCGGACCGACTAACCGAGCGACTCTGACGCAGTTTATCTCGGCTTAGGGGCCAGTTAATTAATCTCTGGTTTAGTCCCAGTTAGTCTATCTGACAGTTAAATTCCATATTGATCGTTGTGAGAACAATGGTATCCATGTAGATTATCTGCCAGATAACTAACTGCAACTTTAACCGGACGTTGATAAACCGGACCTTAGTGGCATAACCCAACAGCCCTCTTCGCAGACCGCAGTTAACTGATAAATAAACATTAAATCTGTATTCAAAAAAATAATCAAAAATTCATTTATATATAATAAACAAAAATATAAACAAAACTACAGTACTCCTATCGATTGCATAATTAACTTATGTTTTCCGAATAGAGGTGCCTTCCTTGATTTTATTAATGGCAATTTTTGGAAGTTATTCATATAGATATATATATGTAGATCTACAAGAAATTAATGGCAATTTTTGGAAGTTATTCATATAGATATATATATGTAGATCTACAAGAAATTAACGGCTTATTACAGACTGTCAATATAGGTTTAGGCAGGGCAGGGATGATTCACTTAATTTCTAGAGTAAATGATTCATTTGTGTGCTTTTAAAACAGATTTTATATTATAAATAATACTAGTATATAATATGTACTAGTATTATTTATAATATAAAATCTGTTTTAAAAGCACACAGTACGACAATTCTTTAATATCTAAACTACAAAATTCCTTAGTTCCGCCAACTTAGAGTGGACAGACAGTACCTACCTTTTTAAAAAACTATTTTGTTTCTATTTTTACCTTGGGAAAATTTACAAAGAAGTTTTTGAATAAAAATGTCATATATAAATATTATGTAGTCCCGATACCCCATGATATTTTGATTGATATCGTAACAAAAGTATTGCCTATAGGCAATATTTTTCTTTCAGGTGAAAGCTTTAATCTTTATTACTAAGTTATAAGGGATTATATTTCCTGAAAGAAAAATATATATTATATAGGTACCTTATAAGCACAATTGTATCAAAGACGAATTAAGGGATTTTATTATTACTCATTTGTATTCAGGGCGGCTAAACGTTTTTAGCCTAGGTGGGTGTAGTTTGACGGGGTTGTTTGGAGTTTCATAAAAAAGCATTTTATTTTATTCATGAAAAATAAGCAGGTTGTTCATAACACTGGCTGATAAAAAAAAGTTTCTGTTTGCTGCAGGATAGCCAAAAACATTTTGAGGGTAATTTGCGTGCATTGATTAAAAACCGGCCAAATGCGAGTATAAATCGTTTCGTATCACAGTCAAAGATTAAATATACTTTTAGTATATTTAATCTTTGTCACAGTATAGAAAAAAATCAGTACAGGCACTGTAGGACAGACAGTCCAGCAATCTTAACGCATACAAGATCCTACATAATATTGAATCATTTCGGATCAGCCAAGGCCATTTAATTAGCAGAAAGATCTCATTCATAAAGAGCGCGAGTGACAGTACTGTTCTTTCTTTGTTATCTATGGTCTGTACCATGATACTACATACTTATTTAGTATCATGGTCTGTACCAGGGGCGTGCTGGGCCGCCGGGACACCGGGAGAAATCCCGGTGGGCCGGTGGTCCGGAGGGCTAAGTGGGCCGGTGTGCCGGAGGGCTATGTAGGCAGCATGCCGCAGCACGTGGTCAATTAAAAACTTTTTTAGTTGAGTTATGTATATATATCATAATTATTTTACACATACCATGCATGCCAGCCTGCCAGCTTTGTTTCTTTTTAGGAGATTGTATATTGTTTATAAACAATATACAATCTCCTAAAAAGAAACAAAGCTGGCAGGCTGGCATGCATGGTATGTGTAAAATAATTATGATATATATACATAACTCAACTAAAAAAGTTTTTAATTGACCACGTGCTGCGGCATGCTGCCTACATAGCCCTCCGGCACACCGGCCCACTTAGCCCTCCGGACCACCGGCCCACCGGGATTTCTCCCGGTGTCCCGGCGGCCCAGCACGCCCCTGGTACAGACCATGATACTAAATAAGTATGTAGTATGTAGTATCATGGTATCATGGTACAGACCTTATATATAAGTTTCCTGAGCGATGATAATTTGTATTAGTTTTTCTTTTAAGTGCAATGCTATATGTTTTAGCATTGTGTAAAATATTGTCTGGTTGTGTTTGTTGCCTGTTTTTTTTTCAACAATTTAATTTATACTTTATGTTATTAATTATAATAATTATTAATATATTAATAAATGTTTGAATTTTTTTAACTTGGTTTTGTTCACCCCCCACTTTTCGTGTGTAGTTGGCCGATTTTTCTGAATTTCCCGGGCCGGTCTGATATAGCCAGCACTCCCCTGGTCTGTACCCTCGCGAGACCTCGGTTTATTATTTGTTGGGATATTAGTTAGGCTAGAATACACAAACGTGTATACTGGGTTGCAGACCTGTTATTATTTGTTACTTTTTGTTTCTTTATTATTCGATGGCCCTTTAAAATGAAATAAAATTGTTTGTCCCTTTAAATTGATGGACCATCAATGATGGTGATAATTACCATATACTTATGGGTCTACAAACATTAGCGAGAAAAGGGCCATTGCATGACAGCCTTTTATCAAAATTATTATTTTTTATTAAACATCCAGGAGGGGGCTAAGGGCCCCAAAATCTTCTGGGTCCACCCCTAACAAATCTTAAATTAAACTCGATATTATCCTACTTTCTTAGTAATGCACTACCTAAAGTACAAATTCTCGAAGTAATATTATCAGTCTCCACTTGATCTCCATCAGGTAACTTTGCTTGTTTTTTAGACATTATTGAAAAAGCTCGTGATCAAATTACATAAAGCAAAACATGCTATAATAGCAGGAGATTTCAATGTCCAATTTGACTAACTTGTCGGATCACTATGGACAGTTATCAAACTCTGTACCCCCTGTTATGACGTAAACTTTGTAGGCCAATCACAAAAATAGGAAAGAACATATTTTTTAACGCAATCTCAAGAATTTCTTGGGACTTTATTGATATAGACAAAATTCGACAAGCTTGTTATGTTGGTTGAGAGCTCATTTCTTGAAGCTTTTCCAGAAAAACTTTACAACAACAATAAACCCAACTATTCATACAATCAAAGCTGGTTCAGTCAAAGCTTTAAGAATATGAGAAATCAACTAACTATCTTTCCTAAACGAACTCTGCAAAATGCATCAAATTAATAATTTTATCAAAACTCAAAAAAATCTATATCGCAACAAATATCAAACTGCAATAAAAAAAGCTAAAATTGAATGTAATGACAATTTAATTAAAAACTCAAACTCATCTATAAAAACTATGTGGGAAATCATAAATGACAAAAGAAGAAATCGCAAAATACCAACTGAACATAATATCTCTTCAAATAAATTTAACTATTTTGTAAGTATAGCTGAATCATTGAGTAAAGAAGTACTCAATGGCTGAATCTTTAATTATATACTTGAACCAATCAAAAGCCTTGAATTTTCGAATAAATTTTGTTTAGATAAGCGATTAAATCACTAGAACTGTTTAACAGCGATTAAATTTTACCCTCCATATTATTTGTCAACCTATAAATTTAATCTGTCAAACTATGTTCAGTAAGTTTTTTATTTGATTTTTCTATTTCTATTTCAAAATAATTAAAAATAAAACCCCTCAACCGCTACGCGGTCTCGTGATTTTATTAAATTACTTTGAATTCAATATTTAAAAAAAAAACAAACAAAAAAGTACTAAGACTAACCGATTAAATTCATAGTTGTCGTGATATAATATATATCATATCATATATGATATATCATATATGATAAAACCCCACGCAAACAAAAATCCTGGAACCGCCACTGCCTGTAAAGGCCCAGTGCAAGCAAAGCTATGGCTAAATATGCTATTATTAAGCCATGAAACTGTAATGGACCCTTGCATAATCAGACTTATGTGTTTGCTGGGAAAATAAAGCTGTAGAACAGGCGAGGTATAGGTTTAAACATAATAGTTTGGGAATCATTGCTAAATACAAAAGCGTCCCAATATAACAATAATTCCTAAACAGTATAACAATAGCCACTAAATAAAAACCGTTTTCTTCATGTAATAACAATAGCCAATGGTAGGAAACACATTTGGTCTTAATTTAAAAAAATTACTTTGTTTCATTAATTTAAATTTTATACCAAAATTTAACAATCTTCTACCTAATTACAAACATGTTTTAATCAATGGGGAAATCTAGGAAATCCCCTCCCAAGGGCTTCAGTAGGTACTCTGAAAAAATTTGGGTGAGGAAAGTCGAATTAGGAAATTTTCCCCTGGATATCAGAAAAAGACATAAAAATAAATTATTAGTACGTTTCTGGAAATTTCAGATACATGTAGTGCACTTGTTAACATAATCTTAGCACTTTATTTCATTTGTATCATATTTCTGTAATGATACCAGATGCTTATATCACAAGGCGGATTTTTATGTATTAAAAAATTTATCATAATATATTATAGAAAACATTATAAATGTTCATGTTATTAAAAACACAAGTTTTTATGACCCAATGTAGAATCGGGTAAACTGGTATATTAGTATTACAACCTTATAAACAAAATGTAAGTAACATTATTTTAATTCATTGGTCTGAAAGGTAAACACAAATTAACAATTAACAGCTTAAAAATGCGTGACATCAGCCGGCTTATAATTTCGTTATAAGCGAAATGTATGGGCGCCGCACATAGGGGTATTTGAACGATCTACGCGGCCAATTTATTTTCATTTTCATTAGATTAGAATTATGTTACTAAGTGAAACCGATTAGTTTTTTGCCTAAAAATGTTCAATTAATAAAAAAATAAATAAAACAAAATTAAGTTAAGGGATGTGTGAAACAAATTAATTTTTTAAACATTTATTCACAAAATAAAAATTGTAATAAAATTAAAGTAAAGGCATAAATTAACATAACTAATCCTAAACAAATATTGAATACAAAAAAATAATCATATAATACAATTTTTACTATAATATTCAAAGCAGCTTTTCCGGGATTATCGGGGACTAAATATTTGATTTATTATTTATCTAGACTACCAACTTTACAGTATTTTCAAATTTTTTACCGGATCTATCAGGATAGTATGAAAACGACACTAAAACGTTACTTTTTTTACAAAATAACTCTCATGGAAAAGACCTTTCTTTAAGGCCCCAAACTTTGACCCACAAATAATTAAATGATAAAATTTTGTTAAATTACAACTACATATCACGGTGCTGTTCTGAGAAGTGATTTTTGGACTTTCTGTGAAACCTATTTTTTTTATATTCTTGTTAATTAGGTCATAACTAAAATTTTAAGAGCAAAATAAAAAAAATTTGACGGTTTGAATTGTTTTAATTGGCTGTTTATTATAAATATTATGCACTCTTTCAATTATCCAATTAAAACTAGCGATTTAATTTAAATATTTAATATTTGCATAACTAAAAAAAAAGTTATATATTTTACTGTTTTGTTGCAATAAACGTTCAAATTTTTAATCCAACCTTTGACGTATACATTTATGTTCCCTTAATTAATTTATCCTTAAAGGTTGCCATGAAACTTAGATCTATTAAAAATTTATTTGACGTTTAAATTGTCATTTTCAGTATACGTATTCTATAATTTTTGTTTAGTTTTTTAAGTGTTTTTTATAAACAAAAATGAAAAATTGTAGTAAAAGTTACGAAGAAATTCATGAAATTTAACTAAGGACCGGTTTATTCATCTTTAGTAAAGTTTATCGGGCCGATAACTTTCATGTCTTGGCAATATCTAGTATCCAAAGAAATTATTCGTCAAATAAATCAAAAATGAATAAATCGGCCCTAAATAAAATGTGGCACCCTTAGAATTATTGTTTAATAAATGTATACTATACATTTAACCTTAAATTAAAACTTTAAACGTGTATTACAACAAAACAGTAAAAGATATAAAAAATGTATAGACCTTTTTTTAGGAAATTAAGTAATCTTTAATCTGATTTAAAAAGTTATGATAATATTTAAATAAAATCGCAAGTTTTAATTGGAGAATTGAAAGTGTGCATACATATTTTTAATAAACATCCAATTAAAACAAAATTAACCGTCAAATTTTTTTTATTTTGCTCTTAAAATTTTAGTTATGACCTAATTAACAAGAATATAAAAAAAAAATTAGGTTTCACAGAAAGTCCAAAAATCACCTGTCAGAACAGCACCGTGATATATGTACTTCCAGAATCCATAACTTTTTTCACCACTTTAGAACTTATTGACATAAAAACATAATTAACACATTTGTTAAGAATGTCAAGAACAGATAACTTATTCAGGGAACACGATCAAAGTCCACATACTTCCAAGTATGTGTCAAAGTATAACTTACGACTTATGGGTACGTGATGCACGGGCGGGGGTGGGAGGGGCTGGCTTTTATTATCAGAAGGGTCCTTTATCTTAGGAAGTCGGCTTCCTAGAAGTATTTGGTGTTTTTATAAATTGACTTTTGGCCGCATAGAGTGTTCAAATACCCCTATGTGCGCCGCGCGGATACGACCAGAGTGTAGAAGTACCGTACTGACAAGCAAGTCAGCTCGCCGCATATATCGCAGGTTAGTTGTTACGATACCACCATGCTTTGCGGAAGAAACCGTATATTGTTGAAAAAAGTGCGCTGCGCCAGCACGTATGTTTTACCCTTTGAGGAAATTCCCTCTCCGAGAGGGCTTCCCCTCGTCGGTACGACTTTGGCTTTGCTTGCTGCTGGATCCACTCCGAAATTGCACAAGTACGTGGACAAAAGGCATAAGAAGTTTGGATCGATTTTTAAGGAAAAGATTGGGCCTATTGATTGCGTGTTTATTTCCGACCCCGACGAGATGAGATCTGTTTTCGCACAAGAAGGTAAGACTTGAGACGAAAAGTATTTATTTATCTTAATTTTGTTTATCATTGATTTAAGATAACATTAAATGTATGGTTTTGGTTTTGTGCCGGCTTTATAAATATATGTTTTGTTGTTTATATTATATGTACATACCGTTTTTTTAATATGTTTTTATACCTATAGCTATGTTCATTTTATTTTTTAAATTTTATATATATATGTACCTGACGTTTAATGTAATGTTTATTATTTAATAAATGTATCTATCTATCTATCTATCTATCTATTGACATATTATAATATATATATACATATGGTGGCCCAAAAAAAAGAATATTTTTTTTCTCTCGTCTCTTGTGAAAATATGTTGGTTTGTAATGTTTTAAGAGCCCTGTCAAAAGATCAGCTCCATTAAAAAAAATTAAGGGGTCGCTCAAGATTTTTAAAAATTTCCAAAATCGTCAAAAATTGGATTTTTTTTTATTTTAATTTTTTTTCTCGTTCCGATAATATTTTTTAATTTAAAAATAATAATGATTCTGAAAATTTCAAATCGATATTTTGATTTCTAAAGGTCGCTCAAGATTTTTTTAACTTTCAAAGTAGAGTATTTTGAATGATTTTGAGCGACCTCTGAATATAAATTCAACGAACTTTTAGCGACCTTTAGAAATCAAAATATTGATTTGAAATTTACAGAATTTTTATTATTTTCAACCAAAAAAAAATATCGAGACGAGAAAAAAAATTAAAATAAAACAAAAATTCAATTTTTGACGATTTTGAAAATTTTTAAAAATTAAAATGTTTTTAATCGAGCTGATATTTTGACAGGGCCCTTACAGCATGATAAATCAACATATTTTTATAAGAGAGGAGTAAAAAAAAATATTCTTTTTTTTTTGGGCCACCCTAATATATATATATATAATGTAAAAATACCGAAATCGATGAGCGTTTCAGTCAAAACATGTGGAGTGGAGCAACAAAAGGGTAAATGTTGGGGTCACGTCGTACCCCACGGTAGTAGTTAACCCAGATATTCCAGAATTTCATAGATGATTAAATAATTTTTATATTTTTTTAAGTCAGCCAAAAATACATATATATATATATGTATTTTTGGCTGACTTAAAAAAATATAAAAATTATTTAATCATCTATGAAATTCTGGAATATCTGGGTTAACTACTACCGTGGGGTACGACGTGACCCCAACATTTACCCTTTTGTTGCTCCACTCCACATGTTTTGACTGAAACGCTCATCGATTTCGGTATTTTTACATTAACCTGATTACACCACATTTTTATGTCACTTTTTTAAATTACGAAATGTTATTAAATGTTATTATTATTAATATTATTATTTAAAAAGGGCAATGACTGGACAAAAATTAAATTACATTTTTGTATCTTAGCCGTTTTTTATTTTGGGGTCACTTTTGACTACCTACCGATACTATTCAATAACTACTAGTTATTTTAATCGCAATGACCCATAGAATATAAAATGTCTTCATGTCTTATGTGTATAAATAAATGAGTTTTGGCCAAACAATTTTCAGTCTCATAGGTACAGGATAAAGCCGGCACTAATTAACTATTGTATTTTATATAATTATACCCACAATCTACACAACAAGGTCTATTCTATATCTTTTCGCGCATACTAAAAATAACTGCAACACTGCACAGAGTTTAACGGCGGCCATTTTTGTTGTTTACAATTCTTGTGCTTTGGCTTGTTGTGTGGATTGTGTTTATACCTATTATTTTGTTTACCATTATGTTTTGTTTTTAGATTAATATGTAGTACGAGGTGTGTTCAGAAAATATCGGGAATTTTCGTTTTTTGAAACAAATATTTATTTATTCGTCTACATTAATGTTGTCGCCTTCAAAATAGTCCCCATTGGATATTATGCACATGTGCCAGCTCTTCTTCCAATACTCGAAACACTCGATCTTTTGGATAGCCTTTAGTTCTTTCAGCGATGCGCTTTTAATGTCATCTATGCTTGCAAAACGACGGCCCTTTAAGGTTCTCTTTATTTTTGGGAATAGGAAAAAGTCAGACAGAGGAATGTCTGGCGAATATGGAGGCTGGGGCATCATTACAGTATTGTTTTTGGCCAAAAATTTTGTTCAAAATTTAACAATTTTAGAACAAATTTTGCTGCCACGCGTTTCATACCCAAAACATTCGAAAAAATATCATGGGATGAGTCAATCGATATACCAACATCATCAGCGACTTCTCTGATGGTTTATAAACATTTCTTCCACTTTTTCCATGTTTTTATCGGTTGTTAATGAGCTTGTGCGTTCGGGGCGTTCGTCATCTTCAACGTCTTCACGGCCATCTTGGAAACTCTTATACCACTTGTAAACTCTTGTTTTACTTATAGCAGACTCACTATAGGCCTTTGTTAACATTTCACAGAATTTATTTCATTTTTTAAGCAAAATTGTATTCAAATTCTTTGATCCATTTCTTTTAACGAACAAAAAATCGCCGAGTTCATAAAACACGTCTAACCTTAGCGGCTGCCACAGACAAAGTAAAGAATGAAAACAGCTAAAGTTTTTATCATACATCGGAGGCATATATACTAATATAATAAAGAAAATTTTATGACAACCGGACCCTCCGAACCCGCGAAATTTAACAATTCCCGTTATTTTCTGAACACACCTCGTATGTATGTATATAATATACTGTGCGTTTCATCTAATTTGGAAGGTCTATGGAATGTCATGCCGTTCATAATATATGTATGTGATCCCCCCCATCACAGCGCCCAACTTAGGTCGAACGCACAGTACCTATAAATCTAAATGAAAAACATCCTAATGTTAAAAAAAATTAACAATTATTAGAGGTAACATTAGCATTTAGTTACAATTTTTATTTTAGGGAAATTTCCTATTCACATATTACCTGAATCCTGGACCGTTTACAACGAGCTACACGGTTGTTCTAGAGGCTTATTCTTTATGAACGGCGAAGAATGGCTTTATTTCAGACGCATAATGAACAAACTGCTGTTAAAGGGCGATTTAACTTGGATCGATCAGGCCTGCGAAGAAGTAAGCAATATAATCGTCGATAAAATTAAGTATAATAAAGTGGAATGCCAGGAGTATAAAACATTGGAAGCGGATTTATATAAATGGTCTTTGGACGTTATAGTGTGTGTCTTGTTAGGCGTTGATGTTTATCGAAGTGCATCCAAGAGTCTGGATAAATTGGTTAAGCAAGCATCTAAAACGGTGCACTTAGTCTTTGAGACAAGCGCTAAATTGTCTTTAATCCCGGCCAGATTGGCGGCCAAATATCGCATTCCGGCGTGGAAAAGGTTCGAAAAATCGGTTGATTCCGCATTAATGATAGCCAATGAGCTGGTGACACATTTATTAGACAATTATCCACACGGTGACGGACTTCTGCACAAAATGCAACAAGAGGAAATAAAAAAATCTGAATTGATACGGATCGTATGTGATTTGATTCTTGCTGCGGGTGATACCACAGCATACTCGATGCAGTGGATCCTTTATTTAATAGCTAAAAATCCTGTAATACAAAATAATTTACGACATAACCTACAAAATAATTCATCTACCCTGCAAAAGAATATCCTAAAGGAAAGCCTAAGACTATATCCGGTAGCTCCTTTTTTAACCAGATACCTTCCTCAAGAAGCCACGGTGAATGGCTATAGAATCTCCGCTGGCACTCTTTTAATTTTTTCTATATACACCAGTGGAAGGGATACAAATTATTTTAAAAACCCGGAAGAGTTTAATCCAGACCGGTGGCTAAGAAAGGGTACGAATTTAGCTGCAAAAGCAACACTGCCGTTTGCTATGGGTGTTAGATCTTGTATAGGAAAAAAAATTGCCGAAAGCCAAATTCAGCTGACTTTGTCCAAATTGGTTAAAAATTTTGATATTGAATTGTGTAATAAAAAGGATGTGGAAGTGGTACTGAAAATGGTCGCTGTTCCTAGTCATCCCATAAGACTGAAATTTAATAACATTTAGTTTAATAAATTAAATAAATTTTTATTTTAAAAATTGCTTTTTAATAGTGACCAGTTTAAAATTAATATTCTAAAGCTTTATGTTTTGCTTACTAACATTGTAGTTTAGGCCCCTGCCCATTATTAATTAATGGACACGTAATTATTACGTGAGGTGTTTTTTTTATTTGGACCCCCTTCTACCATGGTGAGATGTGGTGGGATACCCCTACCTCTCTCATGTAAGATTTACCCTATAATTTAAAATAATTTAATTTATAATACATACGCGGATTCAATGGGTGCAATTGCCACCCCTTGGGCCCTTGAAGCTTCATTTTTCTATTAATGTCTTTATTTTCAGCGCGAACACATGGTATTGTACTTTTTTTGACAAAAATAAAGGTTTAGAAGTACAAAAACAGTTTGTACTATTAAAATAAAAATATTAAGTATTCATGGATTTTTTTTTATTTAATTATTGTTATAGATATATTAATAATTAATTTTGATATTATTATATATAATATATATGTAGGTATTAAATTAATTATTAAAATATCTTTAGGGAAAATTACGTTAACACTTATGTTTCTAAAGTGTCTGTAATTCCTTTAGAGCATATTTTTATCCTTTAGGTATTTCTGCAAGTGCCCCCCCGTAACTCCCTAAGGGGGGCCCCGAATCTGCCCCGGTCATAATAATGTTTATCTATAGCATAATATTGTTTTTTTCTTGAATATTGAACATTAAAAATTACTTGCCTAACAAGGGGAATAATGAATTCTTTATTTACGTTGTTAGACATCAGTGATTGGCAGATTTCAATATTCACTGTGATTTGAACCAAATGATAACCATTTGACAGATGTCAGATTTTATTTACTTATTTTTTTTGAAATTATTTAATTATCTACTTAAAGGAGTAGATAAAGTATAGGATTACATTCGAGATTATGCGCATTATTCTCCTCTGGCAACTCTGGACGCAAACCTTATCTACGTGAATTAGGTATCTCTCGTACAATAATATTTACAAAATAAAAAAGTTAATGTAAGATCTTATTTTTTAAATGAGATTTGGTGATATTTTTTCTTTCCCGAATTTTGAGCACACGTAATTAATGGACGCTCCCCTAAGTTTAATAAACCATGCTAAATCAAATAAATTATTAAAATATTCGGAACGGTACATTAAAGTACGTTAAATTATCTTTTATTCCAGTCAATGAGCTGGTAATACAATTATTAGATAATTATAATCATTTTCACATCAAGAGATTCCTACCCAAAGGGAACAAAGAATATAAAACAAAATTAATTAATAATCAGTATACTGATTTTTAGAGATAAAGGGTGTTATGTTTTTAATGTAATAGCATCGCAGTCACGGTTAACGGAGCTTACTCCACATCTAACTCGCAGCAGAGCAGCAACAGCAGCCCAGCAGATAAGACCTGAAGATGGTACATGAGATTGTACCGAAACGTCGCAGACAAACGGTTCTTTTAAGAACCAAAAATCGACAACGTTCTATTAATTAAGCTTTATTATTGTCAACGGCGTTGACAGAATGCCCACTACCAAAGTATTTGATTATCTCCTAGGCTGTACAAATAATTTAGACCAATAAAAATTCGATAAATGCAGACTGCTATCTAACTACTTTTAATAATTGTTATTATAATTGTAAGTACGCTTTATGTATCGCTTAACAAATAAAACTGTACCTTGAAGATAAAATATTGTATGCCATTTGGCTGAGAGATGTCTTTTTGTGCTCCGCTCAATTGAACTCAGCACAAAAGGACTCTTATGACATATATCACTATTACAATATACGTACTAATAATTACAGGTTTTTTGATAAAAAAAAATTATAATTTATTTAATTAAAAAATATACATAGGGTTACCAACAAAGCATGTCTAACCGGGATATTTGGTTAATTTTCTTCTTCTTCTTTATCAATTTGAACACTGTGTTACACATGATACAAACGTTACAGATGTAATGGCCTTTAGCTTACCTAAAAGCTACTTAGACAGCTCATTATGTTTAAAAAAATGTTTAATTTTATCAAGGGGTCTCAATCAAGAGAATCTGAGTTTAACTTATCCCTTGAATCATATAATAATATATTCCTATTGTTTATAGATTATTTTAATATCAGGTGTTATCTATTTTTTATCACTATCACTTTTTTACACTTATTTTCTTCGTTTTTTTCTTTAAATATTTTTTTAAATTTATTTATTCGATACTTCACCATCTTTTCAGTTACATTTTGTTACAATTGTATTAATTCACTTCCATCATCCATATAATTCTTCTAAAAACTTTATTAATGTTTTACCAGTTCGTTTTCTATATATTTCCTCAATAGTAATTTAGTTTTTTCTTCAAATAGGTATATCAGGAATTTAATCAATAGATTTAGTTTGTTTCATCTATCTTACATTTTTTTGTTAATATTTACCATGCGTTACATGGCAAATGTCTGCTTGCAGACTTATTTCCATATTACACTTTATTTTTTTTCACACATGACTACAAAAAAGTACCAAAAATGTGTAGAGCAAATTTTTAAACTTAACTTTTAGTTACGAGTTTTATTAGGTAACAGCGAAACTTGCGAGAAAGGGATTAATAAAAACGAATGTCTAGAGAATTTTATAAAACGAGTTGCATACTATACTTTTTCTACGACGAACACAAAGAAGAATTAAAAGCCAATTTTATTTGTTAAACAGTTGACATCTGTCAACTTTAAACGGATTTAACCTCACTTTTTACTAATTTATAATAAAGCTTACTTTAACCCGCAATTAAAATGCCCAAAAGCCATTATTGCCAACTTCAGCCCGTGACTAAAACGCCATTAAGTCACAGCTCGTCAATGTAGGAGTAGATAAACAAATGTATTCGCATATATAATAATATATAATCTTTCGAAAAGATCATTCAAAATGATCTCATTTACCTACCATTGCGCCATTTTTTTGTTCAGCTTTGGTCACATTTTAACGTTTTGATTACTCGTCCACTCCATCATACAAAGACAGCACACAGACCCTTCAAGCGTATAACAATTTTTATATTATAACACTCATAAGCCTATATAGAAAAAAAGTACGCAATTATAAAAATTTAGAAACTTGACTTAGATACTTATAAATTGTTAAATCATTGATTGAGATGACTTTACTCAACGGTTAAATCCTAATTAATACCGATACAGATCTTAACAAAAGGTGCCTAGAATGTAGGTCCTAGATAGATAATAATTTGCTTGGATTTACCTAAATACCTACCAAATTTAATATTAAACTTTCCAAAAATACCAGTGGATCAATAAACTTATATTATGATTGAACTTTGACAAATGTTTACTCAATTTAAGTTAAATACTTCAACAACTAACAAATATCAAATCCTAATTGTATTTAATAAACAATGTTTGGAAATTATATTGCTATTATAAATTAATTAAATTTTAATTAATTTAAATTTAAAACACAACAAAACAACTTTTTAACAATAAAATCGTTTTATGATATTAGTCCAGTCAAACCGTCGTTTGACATTGCGTGCTGAGGCACTGTCTGGGTTTTTTCATGAATTGATAGGGGTTATTTGAAAAGCATAAAACCAAATTTGCGCTACCTGAAACATTTTTCTTACAAAGATATACGCAAAAATACATTTTTTCAGTTTTTAGTAAATATCTTGGCCCCGTATACTGCAAAATAAAAAGTAAAAAATCAAATTATTTTGTATAAAATTTCCTATAATTTTTGTCTAAAGTGTTTTTTGTCTATACAAATTTTTCACTAGCTCAAAAAACTTAAAATATTAATAAATTTCATATTTCATTTAAAAATAACAAGTAAAAAACATGTTTTATCACAAACATAAGTTGCATCCACTGTCACATTGCAACACTTCGCCAGACCACTGAATGAATTTAAATTAACACGAATGAATTTTACCACAATTTAAAATAAACACTTAATATTTTTGACCAATTTTAGTGTATATATTAACACAAAATGATTTTACCACTCCATTCGGTAACTTTACACCGAAATATTTTATACTGTGTATAGGACAATGACAGTGGCGGCCCGTGACATTTTATTTTGGTGAGGCAGAGGCAGGGTTTCGCCCTCATTTAGGCGAATACATTTTTTTAAACCCAACTGACGTCGCAGTTCACAACCTATACTTATAGTAAGTAAGTAAGTAAAAAACTTAGACTGTGGTGGAGAAGGAATCCTCTACTTTGTCAATGAAATATATTTTATTGTCTAATTAATATTTCATTGTTCAGCAAGAACCACGTGAAGGTCAACAATATCGGTACAATTTGTCACCGTAATATCCATAATGACTAAATTCACATAAATCACCAAGTTCAATTAACTAAACCCACAGAATAAACCACTTACAAAAGAATCATAAAATAGACAAACTCATAGAAAAAGAATAAACAAAATATTGCGTAAATAACCACAGATTTGTTCTTTAAACAGTACAGAATTTTATAACCAAAACAAATCTAAAGTAGGAATCAGTATTTATTTTATTGGTTACTGTGATGGCTACAAGATGGCGATAGTGTTAAAACATTGAGTAAAGAAGTGTAAATAAGTCATTCCTTAGTCAATGGTTAAAATATGTTTTTTTTAGAATAGAAATATAATTTCGATTAAATCGATTTATTATAAGAAAAATACCATTTATCATTGAATTTTGAAAAACGTGTGAAGTATAATTTATCTAAAATTCCGCAACAGTATTTCCTTGGATGTAGGCGTGCCTGCCTCGCGTATGCTAATACGAGAGAAGGAGACAACTATGATATCGCATTGTAATAGAACGAGACAACAAGGCTAACGCCAAACGTGAGTCTAAATTAGTTCAGGCAATCATCTAGCTATAAATATTAGTTTAAATTTTTTAATTCTCTATGATGAGTAAAATGGGTAAAAAAATTGTCATTGTCACAAAGACAATGTT